CTATCTTGCCGACAGGATGTGGCAGAAATGGAGGGGAGGACCATGCCAACATATTATGAGGAACTTTTAGCTGCACAATTTGATAACTCTAAATAAATTACTAAAGGGGGGGGAGGGTGGTGAATCGTACCTCTCTCTCTCTCTCTTTTTTTTGGTGGAGGGTAGGGGCCTCAGAGTCTCGGCCTTTTATGCCAAAGGATCTGGGATCTTTCGTTTAGTCGTTTTTTGTCACTTTTTTCAACTGCTTTTGGTAGTCGAGCTGTAAGCCAGAACCTTTGGCAGTAAACGAGGAAAGTCATTGCCGCACGACACCCATGTTTCATTTGTCTGTCTGTTGATCTTGTTGTGTATACTCATTTGCTGAAGTTTTAATTAACGTACAAAAAAGTTATGACATTGGCCGTACAACGAACCAACAGAATTTAGCGTATCATGCGTGGGGAGTGATTCCAGTTAAATGTCAAAAATCTAATTACACCCTTTACACTGACTATGTGGCGTTTGCTTGCCATGTGTTGCTAAAAATGCAGCTCTTTTTCTTTCCTGTTACTTATGAAAGCAGTGATTCATGCATTATTTACATGTAACGGTTAAAAAACTACCACCAATGGGTGAGGCAAGACTTGCAAGTAGCTTTAGGCTACGTTGGCACTATTACCAGATAGCTTTCGAGCCACCATGAAAGTAGTACCAGATAGTGTTTGTGTTCGTACACAATAGCAGTTGAACCAAGCCTATCAAAAAAAGGGTTAGCGCAAGGCGGATAGTCTGGCCAAAGCCTGTTTTTTTTTTTTTAATCCTGGACTCGGATTTTCAAAAAAGGGGTCTTGGCGTATAGGGTCTTGCCATTTGCCACTTCAAAATAATAGTCCTTCGTTTATTTCACGATTATTGACAAAGCATGAAAAGGAGTCGAAAATATTTTCCCAAATGAGGTGAAAGGATAACTATAATATCCTAAAAAGTAATGTCTTTTTCTACCCCTTTTGGCCTTGACAGCTAAATGTAAGGAGGTTATGCCGAAGTAGTCAAAATAAGTCACCAAAAGATTCGTGAAGATCATTATTAGGACATCCCTTTCTCTCTAAGACCACGAGAAAACACAAATTCAGGTAAAACATCTTTTAAATTTTCATGGTTCAAAAATCAAGGAAACAGTACCACTTGGTCTCTAATGTCTACTGTATAATAAGTTTAAGAAACAATGGAAATACTATATCTTGACCATCTGGGCGTTACTCACTATCCATTTTTTTTCTTCGTCATTTGTAATGATATGACTGATGTAAGTGCCCTAATTGTACGTAGTATGTACTGTATTGTAACTGAATTCATGAATACATATCTTGACTCGAGAAAAGCAACTTGAAGTACGTATACCGAAGGGAAAAGACAGGCTATTGTCACCCTTTTTTCTGCACTTCATTGGAAAATAATATAAACACATTTGCCAAATTTTGCTTTAGCTATAGGATATTGTACTGTAAAAATTGTCGAAAGAGGAAAAGCCTGCCTTTGTACGGATAATTTATCATTTTTTTCTTGTGTTTAAGTTTGAAATGTTGTGTATCTTTTACCAGTAATTTAATAGGGCCGGCCATTTTATTTTTGCTGGAGGACTTGGATATAGATTTAATAAAAAAAAGGATAAAATACACAGTGAGTTTGACTTACATTCACATCAATAAATCAATCACAGCAGTTGGCTAGGAAAAAGTTGTACCTACCCCCACAAAATAAAAAGTCAACTAGTCGGCAAGTAAAGTTGGGATGTACTAGTCAGGTCGCTTAACTCCAAATTTTCGCGGAAACGTTACACAGCGCATACAAGCATCAAAATCACCAGATTGTTTCCTTAATTACTATTAAACATTTTTCTCCGTGGATCCACGTGGATTTTTGCGTGCAATTTTAATAATTTCTCTCAAAACAAAAGCATGTTCAAACTCTCGGGCGCTGCTTCAGACGCCATGTTGTTGTGGTACTTTTATGTTTGGACCAAATGCAGGGCCTCTTAACCTGGTATGTATACAATGTTTCTTGTAGTTTTGCAGTTAAAAGACGTTGTTATATGTAGAAACCTATAGAGGTCCAAGGTATCATGAATTATAGTGAAATTTTCCTTAAAAGTACGGTGAAATGGGCAACAAAAAAGTGCAACTTGTTTGGTAAAATTGGTGCTAAACGAGTTGAATAGCAACGTTGCACGTTTTACCACCTACGAAAAAAACCTTGCAACCTTATTTGTTACAAGACAGGTTCGAAAGTCGCTGGTCAAACGCGAAACATCTCAGATCAATCTTAGCAGCTGTGCACAGAACCTTATATAAAAACAGTAACAGAATATAATATACAAGACCGTATTATATTCCACTGCACCAAAATTACCCTATTTTAGTTGCTGTGTCACTAAATAACGCCATTTAATTAAAATAGCTCATTACTAAAAGTCCTTCTTACGAACGCCTTCTTTAACACTTAAAAATTATGTAAAAAGTTTTTGTTGTCTTTTGTGTATGAACTACAGACGGCTTTCGTAAGATACTTACAGAAGGCCTGTGTAAGAGTGCTTACACAAGCCTTTTGTAAGATACTTACAGAATGCGTGAGAAGGCTTACAGAAGGCTTGTGTAAGACTCTTTATACAAGGCTTGTGTAAGTATCTAACACAAGGCTTGTATAAAGAGTCCTTACAGAAGACTTGTGTAACGGTGCTTACACAAGACTTGTGTAAGATACTTACAGAAGGCTGGTGTAAGAATCCTCACAGAGGGCTTGTGTAAGGTTGCTTACACAAGGCTTGTGTAATTGTGTAAGAGTCCACACACAAGGCTTGTATAAGGGTCCTTACACAAGGCTTGTGTAAGATACTGTTACACAAGGCTTGTGTAAGAGTCCTCACAGAAGGCTTGTATAAGGGTCCTTACACAAGGCTTGTGTAAGGTTGCTTACACAAGGGTTGTATTAGATACTCTTACACAAGCTACTCTTACACAAGGCTTGTGTAAGATACTCTTACACCAGGCTTGTGTAAGATACACAAGGCTTGTGTAAGAGTCCTTACACAAGGCTTGTGTAAGAGTCCTTACACAAGACTTGTGTAAGACACTTACAGAAGGCTTGTGTAAGAGTCCTTAAAGGAGGCTTGTGTAAGATACTTAAAGAATGCCTAAGAAGGCTTACAGAAGGCTTGTGTAAGATAATTGCTTGTCAGCTTGTCTTACAGAATGCTAAGAGTCATTACTGACGGCTTGTATAAGAAAGGCTTGTGAATCGCTTAGGGTCTTTTCTAAAGGCTTGTGTAAGAGTCGCTATACTATGTGCAAACGCCTTTGGTATCCATCTTAAAAACCGCTTTTACGTCATTAGAATCATTGACATATTTTTTGGCGATTGAAGTGATTAATGCCACTTGCAAAGTATGTTGGTGATTATCGGTTAACGATGATTGTTCACTCCATCTGAAAGAGTACTTCTCTTCTTTCGTTTTCTTTTTTGAGAACATCTCAAGATATTGCCGATGATTTAGTCGTTTTTAATCCTCCCAAGTTACCCACAACACAAATGATACTTTTTGCTGAGTTCCTATATGCAACTTTATTTTTAAAACTCAGTCGACAAACAACAAATAACAGTAAAAAAGAATTAATAATCGGTAAAGGATTTTTCCCAAGCTTTTTGCATGGCTCTGTCTTTTTTTTTACCGAGTTTCTATATAAATGTATAAAATGTTAAATACGACGTTACAATCAACGTATTCACTGTGAGGTTCGGTTTTTTTCTCTCTAGTCCTATGCTGCTATGTTCTGAGCAACGGTATTTAAAAAAATTACGTAAATAGCAATACAATTTTATAAAATCCCACTGATTTGTCGATTATTCAATTTTTTCTTTTCTACATGCATAAAAACAATGTTGTCACATTAATGGTAACCACATTAAACACTAACCTAACATTGATATATAGACATCAAAATATAGGTCTGAAAATACGAGCATACAATTTAAATCAAACAAACTGAGCTACTTGACTGTTTACTCGGTGAATGCGGATTGAATTATATAGAGTGAATACTCGATGCATAGAAATTATATTAACAAATATTGGAATCTGCATATTTAAGCAGGATGTTAATGCCGTGTTCAATAATAAATTAAAAAAAAAAAACATGTAGGTTATCCAACGCTTAATTATGACCAAATTATAATCATAATTAAAACACAATCATCTGTTTATATACACATTGTATTATTTAAATAAAAAAGAAAAAAGGGAAAAAAATGAAAAAAGTATTCAATTTCCACTTGTCCTCAGTGTCACCTGTTGAGATAACAACTAAACAAAACTGTAAACAAAATAAAACTGCTTGCGTCGTATAAAAATAAAAGAAATAGTAGAAAATGGAAGTCGTAAGTTTGCTTTATGCTTCGCGTTTCACCGCTGTTGCGGCTTTTCAGGCATAGTGTCTTTATTGACCTGTTTTCATTCCAAGAGCAATTTGCATAATTTTAAATCAAACTCTTATTTGTCGTTGTTTGTTCAATGTGAAAATGAAAAAAAAAATGGTGTTAGACCCGCAGAACATTTATCAATATGTTCAGTATTAAACTCCCACCATTTCTTTGTACAGGTCTCTGATTTGTGCACTTTCCTTTTAAACAAGATTGTTAGCTGAGGGGGAAACAAATTAAGTATGGTTGGATGCAAAATATTGCTGACATAACATTCAGTCATCAATGGAGATTACCTCCATGTCTTTGCGTGCAAGCCATCAATCGGAGGAATTCGAACCAAATAGTGAGCTTTGATTCTTCGTCCGTTTTCAATTTTGACCCCAGGTGGTCAACGATAATCATCACAATAACAATATTAATGAGAACATTAGTAACAACATCAAGAAGAAACATTTTCAATGACGAATAGTGGGCTTCCTTTTGGATCTTGCTCACAAATATGTCAAAGGTTCGATTTAGTTCGATTTAGTGTTTTCATGTGTCCCTTACACCAAGTTGACACACTTACCAGAAATGATGTCCCCAACTACCATGTTGGCCGATGACATTGTGGGCTGGGACACTCTGACTTCCACATCTGCCCCGTTCTCGCTCTGCCGCACATGATTTCTACATGCTAAAAGTAAAAGTAAAAGCAAATGAATAAAGAATGATACAAATGTTTGGCAGAGACTGGCAGCCGGGGATGATGTAGGAAAACACCCAGAAGAAGTATAATAGAAAATCATGTGCAGCACAAGCTGAATCAACCCGTTAAAGGTTTGTTTTTTCTCTCTTTCTATTCGCTCTAGCAACAGTAAAATGGAAAATGTTTTTTTAATATGCTCATTTACCATGGGCAAAATATATTACCATTTAATTACTTAAAACAAGTCTAGTGCCTTGTTACAAAATAGCTGTTATTTGCAGGCCCAAAGTGATATTGAAAGTCAGGAATTGTTGCAGAAGCGTACATACATGTATCTCACAATACCTTCATTGTCAAATTGTGAGCCTTTGAGTACCACATGTATGTGGCACTGGCTTAAAACGTCACTACATTCTGACATCAGTTCTCTGTCAATGTATAAAGAAGTTAATAAGTTCTCGTCGAATGTACCAAGTCCAAATAACAATAACTCATCAGCCTGAAACAGGCAATCAATCTTGGCATATAAACAAAGTGAGCAGGGAAAACAAAGATTATATACTAGTGGACAGGGAAGTCACAATCATGGACTGGGTTTTCTTGTTTCACCTTCCAACCAGAACAATTCTCAGAGTGAGTTACCGAAAAACAATTTTAAAATTTATTATCTCTTCCCATTCATGTCTACTATGTGATGTCTCCAAAGAGACCAGTCAACCAGGGCCATACAATGTACCTGAATGGAACACCTTCTCACATTGCATGCAATTCCAGCAACTGCTTTTTTTGTACTTACTACGAGCAAAAAACAACAGGAAGTTCTGTTTTCATAGTATATGATTATGTGGAAAGAAGAAAAAAACCCGAAGTTTCCCCCTTTTCTTATACTTTTTCTTTTGCAGCTTATTTATAATTTATTTGAAGCCCCTATGTCTATTTCATTAGTGTACAGACATGGATCTTAATGTTCTGTGAAGAAGCCAAAACTTATACACAAAGCTGGTACCCTTCTCACTCCTTTACATAATACAATAAATCTTTAATATTTACAATAACCCATTCTATGCCTACCTTAAAATTTCCGCTACCTCTTTGGTTGGCCTGTATCTTAGGATACAGACTGGTGTGGAGTCAAAATGACTCTGTAATCGAACCTATGAAATACAGTGTATGAAATGATGACTTTTTACAAAAAGGTGATTCAGATTACCAAGTCCATTAAACAACAAATCCTTGTATACGCACTAACTAACACATACCTGTGAAGGTCTCCATTCAAGTGGAGAAGCTCCTCCATTAACCTCAAGTCAAATGAGGAACCATATGAGCATGCATCTGTGTATAATTTCAAATAGCACAAGCTTACATGATTGGGTAATAATACTTGGAAAAGTAATTTACTATTAATACAAAGTTATTTTTATCATGATCAGTTGTATAGCAGGGCTGTATATTGAGCATCAATTGACTTAGGAGCACTGCATGGCAGTTTATGTAGAGAGTTCTTTACGTATTGTAGTGATGTAAGGTGTCACTGCCACTGAACCAATAATAGGGACAATAATAATTAATATATGTGTATGTTTTTTTATAATAATGCATATTATCATAAAAGACAAATTAAACAGATGTATATGATTGTGCAAGACTGTATGTGTTCTTATTATTATATGCCGGTATTTATCAATAGAAGCTGTAATTGTGCATGTATTAATGATATGTATTTCATTTTGTTTACAAAATGCAATATTTATGACTCAGAAAATATTTGTAGTTAAACTATCCCCAATGCCAAAGTCAGTCAGTAATAATAATGGTGAGTCCAATGTGGGTAAAATGTACAGTTCATTTCTCAGGAATGGTGATCCAGGCTAAAATAACTGCCCAAAATGGGCCGGGTTGTGAGGGAACCATTGTGGAAAACCAATAATCGGTGTGAAGGTCAAAGGTTTGAACAGAATTAGCAAAAAGTAATAATACTACATAGTTGAAGTGAAACGTACCAAGTTCTGCTCCGTAGAGACTATGTGCCTCCTCATTTATCTCTCCAACTTATGAATAAACAAAAAACCATTTAGTACTTATCACAGTAACACGTATTTTCTAAAGACAGTTTTTAATATTAATCTTTATAACTTGAGCAGTAAGACTAATTGAGGTAAGAAAGCACATATGCCTTTCTGTACATGTATGTCATGAAGGGCTTAAGGGAGAAGGGAGGTACAATCAAGGGCTCAGGACTTTGAGATCGTTATTGAATTGGATATAGTTTAAGTGTGGAAAAAACTATTCAACTACCATCAAAGGGGGTCTTCATGTGATTGAGCCATTCAATTACCTCTACTATGACATAATGAGCCGAAAATTATATCAGTTGGCCAAAAGAAGCCTCCACAGTGCTTAACCCAAAGTGTTATCGTCTGTCAGTGCTTATACAAGTACCAGCCCAGATCGGACTCAATAGCTTTTTTTTATCCATAACTCAATGATTAATTAGCTGTCACACAGTTCTCAAATGTACATAGTGTATCAAAGGCTTAATTTACCTTGTACAGCAACTCTCTCCCAAGATGCTTGCTCACTGCATGGATAGCCTAGTATGGCTGTCTTTACAATGCCATCTGAGCAAATTACCAAACAGGTTTAAGTCAAATTCCTTTCAGAGAATGTTTAGTGTACAGTTATGTACAAACAAACATGCACTATAATTAATTATTCCTGCCAAAAGTTTCTTACTTTATAATAAAGATTGGTATTTTGATATATTCCAAGGATCATAAGTATTCAACGTCTTCAACCGTAAAGAGTCCTTTCAATAAATGCATGGAATTCACAAGTAGAAAAAAACTTGCTTTGTTCCCTTTTTGGTAAATAACAAAGCTTTTAATAAACTGCAAGTGGCTTTTGGCTAAATTTTATGGTCTCTTGAATAACAGGGCAGTGTAAAATGCAGACTGTAGACTGACTGCTGACTATTGTTTTTAAGGTTAGAAAACAATGGGAGTATTGTTGTCACGTACTCATTTGCATGTGCAAACAATAGTCATCTACACTGAGCGCTTGAATAACTCAGCTGATTGTGGCAATATTTTCACCGCTAAAGAACAAAATTGACAAGAAAAAGGCAAGTTTTGTTTTGTCCTAAAAATATTAGACAGTTCCCACAGTAGTATACACGTATATACACGTTGGTACAATCAAATCACTGAAACTGAGGGCAAATTAAATCATAATTATGTCATCTAAATTACCATAATACGACTAACTACCTCATGTGAGACTACCTACCATATATGGTACATGTGATCCTATCAGCCATTGTGTTGGCATCTTTATATCAACAGAAAACAGACAAATTTAATGACTGTACAGTGGTTACTCATGCAGTTCAAAATTAAGTTATATTTAAAATAATCAATGCAAACTGTTTTCAACTACTTAAAGTTAATAAAGTTTCAGTGATCAGAACTTGGTAACTGTCAGACAATGAGCGTAAATCAAGTTTAAAAACACCCTCAAACTGTATCAAGTATTCGAAAGATTGATTTAACTGTATTGAAATAAGAAACATTCCATAGGCTAATACTGAACTTCAATAACTTAAACGCTAGTTACTGTCAAAAATTCTATCAAAATCTATTTGTTTAAGATAGTTGGGTTTATTTATAGCTGGGTTTGTTTGCACATACTTTACTGAAATTCTACCGGTTTTCTGGGTGTTTTTCATTATGACAGTGTCTTAATTATAGTGGGGTTTGATAAAGTGGGGTTTCTCTGTACCTGGCAGACACTGATTGGATCTTTCAGGTGTTGAATGATTAGACGTGGTGGCGGTGCACTATCCTCATCACTGCTGTCAACTAAAATGGGTAATAAAAAAGGTAATATTAATTAATTTGTGTTTTTCAGTGAATAATTTTTTACAGTTGGCACATGAGAGGTATTAGTTATAAGCTTTGCACCTTTAATTGTCAGCTGCATGCCTTAACAACGCTATCAGCACTATTCAGCACATTGATTTCATGGTTTTCTTTTAACAAACAATGCCCTATTAATTAAATTTACTGCGCACCTGTGTGAACAATCCCTGTATTTCTTGAAGTACCTATAAGGGTAACCAATAAGATGACAGGATGTATTACAATGACATAAGTACATGCACACTATGATGGGACAGCTACTGTGGAACTTTATACTGTGGTACACTATAGGGGAACCAACAGCCTTCCTTCTAATATGCACCGGAAATTTTAATAAGCATGGCATATATGTATACCCAAAGCCCACTTTTGTATCCATTCGGATCTCTCTCATCTAAATATTTATTCAAAGAGGTACAATACAGGGTGTCCCAAAAGTTTGCTCCTTTAATTTCGTGAGCTAAAACTTTTGATAAAACTTATGTTAATATCAAAATGAATGTTCAAATAACCGGAAAATCAGCCTGAAGCATAAGGGAAAAGCCTCAACTTGTTGTGGTTGTCTTCACTTATAAGCAATTTATGACATAAGCTTAATATTTTTAATATGCCTGTGTCGCTAGAGGGTACTGGGCTTCATGGAGTTTTTACAAGAGAGCTCTATTGTTTATTTAAAGCTGCATTGCTCTATTTTACACCCAAGTATATTGAACTTCAATGTAATTGACTGTCTGATATAGGTAATAAGTAATACATGCACTTACCCTCGCCAGATGTCCCTGGGATTGCCAAAGCTTCATAATCCACTCTTTCATTATCTGAATAGCAGTAGATGATCAATACTTTGATCTTAATTTCTAATCAGAACATCACCACAGTGAAGTTCAACCGGTTACAAGCCTGCCATACCTACACGTAGGTCTACCTACACCCCCGCTTAGGTCATTTTATTCATAGTCTCAGCAGGGATGGGCAAAATCCAGGAGGTACTCAAGTGCCTTTTCATACTGTTGAAATATACAGTCAGTATGTCAGAACAAGTATTTATTTGCTTGCACAGGGGCTGCATGGATTTGTCACACAAGGTGAGGAGATTATGGCAGGGCCGTCGACTCTGTCAGTTGTCTTCAAATATTGGGAACTATGGATGGGATGATAGAGGAGACGTCTACCAATGACATCATTTGTGCAAAAAAATAGCCATTGACTCTCATTAGCATTAATTTTGCGAATGACACAATATGCTTGAAAAAGATGTTTTTGGCATTATTGTATAACAATCATTTAATCTGATTGGTCTATTATAATCTGGAGACTAGGAGAAACGATCCAAAGATCATCTCACGACAAAGGGATGGGTGGGATTGTGAGGGATGACTGTTATGAATTTTTTAAGTAAAAAGCAAAGCTCTATTCAGAGGGTCTCAATGGGGTGGTGGCTTTTACGGTTATCGGCTAAAATTTCGGCTCTTTTACGGCTATCGGTTAATTTTTTGGCTCTTTTACGCCTATCGGTTAATTTTTTTCAGTTACGGTTAAGAAAAAAGTTAAAAATTAATTTCTTTTGTTGCAAAAGGTTAAATATTAATAAACCTGTGTTTTTTTTCATCTTTAAAGCAAAGTAAAGGTCTTATGATCATCTCGGGCTTAAATAAGTTATTCTTTTGAAACATTTTAATATTTGATAGATCATACCACTTCTAATATTATTTTACGTATAGAATTGTGAACTACGAAAAAGGATTCAATACAAGGGCATACACAACTTAACTTACGTCATACCTTCTTACATTTACTTGTAGGAGTGGTGTTCTGTTTGTCCTTATATGGTGTTATATGCCTGTTAAATTGTCTCAAAATATAGCCATGCTTGATGCCTCAAAATCCTTCAATGTACAGTCTAGCTTGCCTCGGGTACCTTTTTCTGCCTAGACATCAAACCGTGTCCACACCTTGACTTGCCTTCCGGACCTTGTTACTACTGGCTTACTAATGATAAGATCCTCTGAGTCACTATCCGTATCAACCTCGCTGATTTCAGAATCGCTTTCGTACTCCTCCACCTGGTTGAAATCAGCAGCAGACGCGAGCTTCACTTGCGGAATGTTGGAATCGCTTATAAAACTTAATGACACATCGGAGACTAAAGGGTTGATCTCAGAGGAGGCAGGGAGGGTTCTGTCGTGTTGGTCATCTGGAAATCGTACCTTTGCAGTAATATCCGGCTTTGGCTTGGCGTACGCTGCTGGGGGCAAGGCTCCTGCCTTGTCTTTCGTCGTTTTACTCCTCACGGTTCTTTGCCTCACCGGACGGTAATTCTCCAACCATTCCTTCATTATTTCTTCATCCTTTTTCGATAGCCCCTCACAAGGAAGTGGAGTCATAAACTGCACTTCCTTGAATGACATTCCCGTTTGGGGCACTGTGTAGTAGGAAGATGGATGAGTATAGTATTTAGCCCCCCATTTAGTTATTCGCTTTAAAGATTCCTTCGATATCGTACCAAAGTCTATCGCATATTGAAGGGCGCTAAATGTCTCATGTTTAAAATGCGATACCGCATGTAGGTTCTCTACTTGAGTTGTAAGTAAAGTTTGCCAGTCAATGCTATCTTTGTACTCTGGGCTGACATTTGTGATATTTCTTATGAGGTTGTTTACACCATTCAACAGGAGCTCGACAGAATCTTGCGTCTTTTTAGACACAGTTCCTTGAGGACCATTCGTTGCTGAACCTTCTTTGAGGTGATTTGTTTCTTTTACATTTCTTACCGTAGATTTGATGTAATCGTTCACCTTCTCAACATTCTGACTGACCTCCTCTGGCGTAATTGTCTGAGAAGTACTACCTTTACAAACTATGCCAAAGCTGTCATATAAAATGCCCAGGTGACTTAGAAAGTTCGTTGTCCCTGACAAACCAGTAATCAGCTTGATTTTCCCTGCTGCCGCATCCGTTGTGAAAAGCGTATCTGCAACACTACATATTCCATGCACTTGGACAAAGCTGCAACTTTTTTCAGTTCCGTCCTGTTCTCCTTCACGTCCATCTCCGACAAGAGTATCAACTTTTTTGGTCAACGGATTGTAACGCTTGACTTGACGAGCCTCAATGTCTGTGAAGACTAGTATGTCATTAAATTTTGCTACTTTCTTGATCTTCTTGGAACTGTTAGTCATATTCTCAAGAATAGTCATGACCTCGCCGGTTTCCATGCTAAAACAATACAGGCCACCGTTACATTGGCCACTTTTTGCCACTGTGAAGTAAACATCTGGAGCATTAGAGACTGTCATGGATTCCAGGCGATAAGCACCCTCTGGATATCTTACGAGTTTCCTCGATTTGCCTTTTATAGTGACTCCATCTCTTTCTAGCTGAATCTGATAGATAGCTCGGTGACCATCATCGGCGCACAATAGTATGTCATCACTAACCATACACAAAGCTGCAGGCTTTGAAAGCATCACATCAGTTTGCAAAACACATTTCTTCACCTTGGCTTCTAGCTGGTCTAAGTGCTGAGAAAGGCGCTTGCGTAAAGTTGGAACGGTTCCATCCAGGGAGAGGTTGTAGTTACTCAGTATTCTCTCCAGATCAGCACGTGAACGTAGAGAGTTGGGGTCAAGTCTAACGTTCCCTTCAATGTCTTTAAATCTTACGCACGCGTTACCACGCTCTGCCATAAAGGCTACACCTCTACTGAAGCATAGATCTCTCGCATCTTTCAGCCCATTTTGAAGTTCTGTTACATCGGCTGGTTGGTGAAGTCTTATCTTGAGTAATCGAGAGCAACAGGAATCAAAATCGTAATCAAGTGCCAAAACACTACCAAGAGGTCCAGGAGAGATAGCAACAGGATGACGACAAACACCTTGTTGATTTGAGGTCCAAAATCTATACTTCTCCGGAACAAGCGTGTGTACCACAAGTGCCACCTTTCTTAATACTTCTACCACCTCAGGTCTGGTTAGTCTCACTATTGGCTCGACTGCCATCCTATCTTTATTTCTGACGCATTCTAAGGTCAGCAATTTTCTCAAAGGTTTGCGGACATCACAATCTGTTGAGTCTCTCAACGTGCGGATTAATACGAGATTAGACATTTGTCCATTCAGATCTATGAACCAGTTAGCCCAGCTGCATTTGAGACTCTTACCGATGTGAACAACATCAGGGAGAGGGGTCAGGAGCAGAAGCTCAGGCGGCATGTTGTGGTTTTCTGACATCTTCTGGATTTCTAAAAGAGCCTGCTTATTACATTTCTCGCAGTCTGTAACAACAGCCAGAACTGCGACTTTTCTACATTGAATAGACTCCTTTAGGCAGGATTCACAGCATCTCAATGCTGGTAAGTAGGAGACGTGACCTTTTCTTTGGCAATCTTGGCAGATGGCTT